ATTGAACGGAACTTAACTGTCTGGAGGAGCAATATTTATGCAACAAACAAAACCCTGCCGTTGTGTGGTGGCATTTTGGATATGCTCTGCAACAGCTGGTGAGACATGGAACAGGTGTGGCTGCCGCACGATGGAAATTTTTAGCCGTAGTCAGCAGCTGCAGCACCTTTCCCACCGGTTGTGGGTGAGTCACAAAAAGTACTATGAGGTCTATGAAAGGCGCAATGCAAATGCAGTTAATTATCATTCCTGCAATGGTTGCCGAGAGTGTGTTGATTTCTTAGCGGTCGTCTTTGGGGTTTGTGAAGCTCCTTACTGAGTGTGGGGTTTACTCTTTGCTCCGTCTGCAGTGAAGTGCGAAAAACACCGCTGTCTCAACACGTACATACATAGGTGGGATTCTGTTGCTGTATGGTTCACGCAGTACCTGTGAATGTCAAGGCGGTTCACCAGATGATGAAAGTAAAATTCTCACCTTCATACAAAGTGACGATACAAAGTGTCAATACACAGTGGTGAGCAGTATAAATTCCTGAGTGGGCTTCATTTGTGGTACACATTCCCTCCCACCGGAAATTACCTCACGCTGTATTATTTTTTTACTACATCTTGCCTAGTTCAGTATTCTGAGTTTCAAGTGGCATTGCTGCTTGAAATGGATGATCTGTATATGATGTAGAATAATTTTATTTCCACACAGGCAAATGAATTGGTAGCCCCTAGGTGGCACATTCACCTTTACTGAATGTTCATCTAGTTTTTTTGGTGGGGGGGGGGGGGTTTGTAGCCTTTTGGGGAGGGGGCAGAGGTCATAGGGCCCTGTCTGTCCCCTGGCCCTTGGCCACCCACCTTGGGTCCATATACTGCTCTGTTATGTGTGCAAGTACTGTACGGCAACCAATGCAAAAGGGACACCGTTGTCCTGTGAATACCGTTTGTTACTAAGGGGTGTCGACACCGGCCTGGGTTCGCAGGAGATCATTGGGAACGACTGACTTCAAATGATATCCATGTGAGCTAATTAACTTTCATCCGGGGCAAAAGGCGGCGTCTCGCAGATAATGTCAAGAGCAATTTAAGCTCTCGCACAGTGCCGCACGCAGGCGCTTGTTTCGGGGGGATGTTCTGCGGTGACATTATCGAGCTTCCGTTGGAATAAATTACCAGCTCGCTGTGCTAATTGGCGAGGCATGCTGTGGACATCAAAGCACATTTGTGTTTACATATTTATTACGGGACTTGTAATTGATTTAGAAATTTCTGCTGTGGCCATGTTGACTTGCGCTGTGAATATAATACAATGATTACATATTTAATAGCGCATCTCCTTGTGAGTACTGCAGCGTGCGTTGTCAGATGGAACAGCGGATAGGACGTGATGATCTAAACACATCATGAATCCCTAACAGAACTAAAGTTGATGTGACTCTAAACAGGAATCTCCAACCTTTTAAAAATAGTTGAAGAGGATAACTTATCTTTTAATAAAAACCCTTGTTTTTTAAAGGTCATATTGTCTAATGAAGTTATTGGATCCTGTATGTAGGTACACTTCAGACAGCATGTGTTCATGCACTGGGCAGGCCGGTGGATCCAGGGGTATTCAACAGTTCCCTCAGACAAAAGTTATCAGACACCGTGTTGCAGACTACAACTAAAGTGTTTATTGATTTTGACCTCTGGCTGACATTCTGGCACTGTGTGTGTATAAGAATGAATAGCCCTCCATTAGTGATGAAGCTACTTGTCTGTAATTAAATGATTGAACGCTTTTTTCCCCCCGTCGTTAAACAAGGAGGGTATTTGAGATGGAGATGTCTTAATATATCTGATCAGATCTCTTCCTTGCCTCAGCCAGTGATTGTATTACCTGCAGGCAAAACGGCCACAAGTCTGCCTGAAAAGTAATGAGGTAAGATAATATGAATAACTGCAGTATCCAGTGCTGAGGCACTAAGCTGCCTTATTGTAATGCCAAATTGTGGTATCTGGAAGGTCCTGTTTTAAGAATTTTGTCTGAGTGCTTTTTGTAGATGTGGGCCTGAGTATCCGCCTGTCGTCCTCCATCTGCTTCCTGATTGGGCTTGAGAGCAGTAGTGAGAGCACAGCCATTGGTGGAATAATGCAGTAAGGAGTGACAATCAAGAGTCAAATTCACGAGTACTACCTCCGCTCACCTGTCAGTCCCAGAGTAAGAAAAGCAGTCCTCCTGGTTTCCCTTCCCTATCCTCATCTGCCATTAGAAATATTTATTTTTTTCCAAAGTTGGAATAGAGGAACGCAGTCATGTTAATACCTGTCATCTGTTAACCTTGGGCTTGGGGCAGCAGGTTGTGCTGCACTCCAAAGCATTTTGTTTTTTGTATTAGGCTCCAAACTGTCAGGGTTTCTGTCAAAGCTGAAAACACCTTGTTTACTTTAGATTCATCTCTGAACAATTTGTGCAAACGGTCTGCAGATAGCATTTGATCTCAGAGATGCTATCTGAGTAAACACTTTCATGGTCAACCAAAAACTCTGCAGTCCTGCTGTGTAGCTGCTGACAATGAGCCGAAAGTTGCGCCTTTCATAACTGAGATCGATATATCCACGCATGACCTTCCTAAACACTTTCAGAAAGTATTCTTTAAGCACCGCGGCTTGCTGCTTCATCTTGTTCGAATGAATCCATTAGTCTCTGTGTTATCTCTCTCATTGTACTTCGGCAGCTTAAGTGGAACAAAATCAATTTCTTCCACCTCCAGATTAAGCACTGCAAGCTAATACCCTGATTGATTTGATCAAGTAGATTTGATTTTTCCTGTCAGGGTCAATCTCAATAAGCACGTTTATTCCATCTTAATTGCATAGCGACAGACTTAGGAGGATTTTGTTTACTTGAGTGTCACGTAAGCCCACCACCTATTCCAGAAGGTATAAACTTAAAGCATTCATTAACTGCAGCTGTAGTCATTGTTTTCAACAAATCTGCAACTATAACTTGGCCTCTCTCCTCACCCGCCATTTTTAGTTGTTTTCAGAACCTTTGGTAATAGTAAAAATGTTAACCTGTGAACGGATCATCTCGGCTTCAGACAATGGTGCTGTAATGTAGCAGACACAGTAAGTAAACACACCAATGAGATTTTATTTGTATGATTTTACATTCCACAGTTGGACATTTCCAGGACTTCTTTTTTTTCTTTGTTTTTTTTTCTTTGCTCTTTTTGTTTACTCAACAGACACATTACTGATGTAAAAGGTTGACAGATCTGCAGTTTTTAAAATTAGTTTGAAAGGTGCAGCATCTCTGTTTCTGGATACCTCAAGTTCTATTTTACACCATCAAAAAAATACACGTATCCCATAGTGCCAATTTCATGACATTGCCTTCAGCTCAGGACATTCAAGTACCATAACATTCTGTGGCACTTTCTTTTGTCTCCTCAGAACTCCAACTTTTCATGACAGTTCATATGATCAGCAGCTTTCACTGTGATGGATTCAATTTCAGTTAATGGAGGTGAAATTCCAGCTCATTTTTTGTTTCCAGTGAATTTCCTTGGTAGTGACTCAATGTCTTTAAAGTACATAAGGATTTACTGTTAAATTGGGAGGAATACAAGGTTATTTGATAATGCATTACATACATTCTTCTAGCATTCCACTACTGTTTTCTTCACCAAGGACGATGAGAAAGGTTTGCTCTAATCTCCTCTGGGCCCTTCACTTTCAACACTGATTGTGATGCCCATAATTGCACACATGATGGTGAACCCAGACTGAATATGTGCCCACTATATATATGCCCACTATATTTCCCTGTTCATTATAATCTTTTCAACTGTAGATGAGAAACATTAAGTGTGGTGTGTTTGTCACCCATCACTATGGCCTAGGGTGTATTTCATAGAATGAAACAAATACTTACATGCCAATTCTCTATTTTTGAGTATGTCTTGTTTTGCAAGCTTCATGGACTCATGTGTTTTCACATGGCTGTGAAAAGGAGTGCATGTCATGAAACAAGACACTTGTGGGGTTTTTCTGGATGTTTTCTTCTGCAGCAACAGTAATTGGATAACACTCATTTTGCTGCAGTATTTTCCAAAATTTTCTGTTGGAATAAGCCTGCTTTTATCTTCAGCAGTTGCTCCGAGGAAGAGGAAAAAATTTGTACGCTACGTGAAGTGTGTCCAGTTAAGTTATTATAATTTCACGCTCAATCGCATTCTCCACTTGCACCAAAAAGAGAGCCTTTTTTTTTATGTCTCAGCCCTGAAGTGCAAATTAAGAAGGACCCAACTTCTCAAAATGCCACTTTAGTTCACTCCTCTCTTTCCACATGCCTGCTACCATCTCACACTTACGCAGATATTCACTGTGCTACTTTTGGACTGAGGCTGATGCAGGAAGGAGTCGTAACAGAGGGTGGATTTGAAGGTCAGTCAGTGAAACCTGCCCAGTCAGGGCACAGAGGATCGCTTCTTCATTTTGAATAAGAGCCTTATCAATGATCACATTGCATTGGGAGCCCAACAGGAATGACGCATGCTTCTGCTTATGATGTCACTCCACTCGGGCGTACAAGTCGCAGGCATGAAGTGCTAAATTTTGTAGAGGCGTCTACACTAAAAATACCACCCGAGTACAAACCACAGTACAAATGACAGACTGCAGCTCAGGCTAGAGGCAGCCGTGACAAATAATGTCATATGTCTAAGCCAGGAAGTTGACACATTTTTCACTTGACGAGAGTCTTGAATCTTCGCTACCCAGGTCCTGTTTTTGGAAGATTGCAGTGTCTACGGGCTTTCTTTCCAGACGGGCACTCACTCACTCACTCACTCACTCACCAGAAGCAACAAATGATTGCCTTGATTGATGCCTCTCGCCATCTGCTCCACCCTGCTCCAGTCCCAGGCTCTCTGCATCCCATCTGCACTACTGCAACTTGCCATTAGTGTGTCTTCCTGTCTATAGCATTGCACTACTTCGGCTCATCCAGAGCACTATGGGGCGGCCGTGTAGCATAGTGGTCAAGGCGCAGGCCTTGTAACCAAAAGGTTGCCGGTTCAATTCCCCACGGGGGCACTGCATATGCTGTACCCTTGGGCAAGGTACCTAACTCACAATTGCCCAGCTGTATAAATGTATAACATCGTAAAAAAAAAAAAAAAGCCTGTAATTGACGTAAGTTGCTCTGGATAAGAGCTTCTGCTAAATGCCAATAATGTAATGTAATGCTACTGCTGGCTGGTCTTCAGTCTACCAAAATATACCCACTTGCCTGTGTATCCCTTCACTGGCTTCTGATTACTCTTCCCTTTCAAGGCCCCAGTGCTGCCTTACAGGGTAGCCAAGGGCACTGCTCTGTTCCTACCTTCAATCCATCACCACGGCTAGCACCCTTCTATCAGAATTCAACGTTGCCTAGAAACACACCTGCTCAGATTTTACCTTTCTTGCCAGACCTTGGGCCTGGCCTTCACCCCAGAATTCAGCAAGCAATCACTCCATTCTTAAGTGTAGCTCCCTCAGGTCAGTGTTAGTTGTTGTGAGCATGGTCATCCGATGCAAATTAACATTAATTGTGAATTATTGATTGACACTATCTAAACACTACGACTTAGTTTTTACAGTTTTCTTCTAGTATTTTAATTCTGGTTTTCATCTTAATGCCTATTTATGGCACTTCTGACTGTTCTGTGCTAATGCCATTGTTCTGTTTTCTCCTTTGATAGGCATTATTGCATATTCCTCACAAGCACATTGAAAAGCAATATGAAACAGTACATTTCCAAAACAATGTCCGTTTCCAATTTTGTGTCGGCTTTTGAATTTTGGCTCAGATTAGCCTCTGTAAATCAATGCAGGGGAGCACCTTGCCAAGCAATGTCCATCTGCAGTCATTCTTTCACTTTCGCATTTGCCTTTCCATTCTGACACAAATCGCAATCCACACAAAACCGACTGTGAAGGGGAGTGATAGGAGAAAGCCAACATTAGCATAATAAACAATCTGTCAGGACATCCGACAGAGGCTCGCCGAACACAACAAATTCTCAGATATGTTTGTTAGGGTCTCCAGAATGCAATGAGGGGGAGAGACTGTATAGCTTTTCAATGTTTTTTAAAATAGGCATTTACTATCAACACACAAAAGTGTACACCACGCATGAGTGGGCAGCAGTGCAGTTATTGTACCTCTCTGGAACATATTAACAGTTCACCTTTATATCATTGTTTTTTTTGTGTTGCATCAGTATGAGTTTTGGAAGGCCCCTGGAGCAATTTAATAAGCATTAGATGGTGTTATGGTGAACGTACCATGAACTCATCAAATATTGGTCTTCATGAAGCTGATTTTTACATGGTTGCTACATCCTATTTTAGAAGTAAGGCCTCTGAGCCTTTGAGTAGGATACAGAGTGAAAACGCTGTTGAAAAGGTAAAAGAAATCGTTTCCTCCCCTGTGGTAGCTGAAAACATTTTTAGATCTCTCTCTTTCCCATCACATTGATCCCTGGAAGAGTGACAGTCTGTGCTCCCATCAGATGTAATGAGTGTCACCTCACAGAGCTGCTGAGGGCACTGACACTATGATGCCAGAGCCTTCTCCACCAGTCTGTTAAAAGCTCTCTGAGCGCCGTCTTTGAGGAGGCTTCAAAGGCGAGACGAGGCATGTCGCACTAACAGGATACTGCATCTTTCCTTTTTCTGATCACGAAATGCCCTGCCTTTTCCCCTAAGGCAAGTGTTTTTTTTTTTCTTTTTCTACTATCATTATTATCATTTTTACAACTGTTTTTTTTTTTTTCTACAGAGATTGTAAAACACCCACACACACTTACCTCTATGACAATGGACTGAAAAACAACTCCCGCACAACACATGCACACACACTCACTCGCTCATTCACACACACATACATGCATTCAGGGATGGGTTTTTTAAGGAAAAATAACAATGTGAAATAGCCACACAAATATGGTTGTCCCAAATTAAGACCAAGGTTATTCAGATAGGATTGTGCCAGACTTGGACATATCCACTTACCGGTGCCAGACTTTCACGAAAAGTAGCTCTGTAAGTAAATGGCACAACTTTCATGCTTGTTAGTAACCAATACGTGGACATGTCATAGTCTGCTGTAACCTTATGCTGATAATCCTGGTTAGGGCTCAGAAGAATGGAATGTCTTCGGAAAATGAAAACGTTCAAATATGGAGTAGCGTTTTTTTGATTCTCTGTAATATTCTTTACAGTTTTGTACAAGGATAAGCCCTGGTGAGTGCTCCAGTCCTAGTGCTTTCAGGAAAAAAGAAGTCACCTCCGAAAGCTCAACTACAGCGCAACGAGCCGATGAAGGGTTTGCAAACCTCACATCTGTTTCCCTCAGTCAAAGCGAATTTTGTCAGTTCTCGTTTTTTTTGTGCCGCTTAGGGGAAGGACCTGCGACACCCTCTCTGTTTCTAAAGTGTCTGTTAACATCAGGGATTTTCAGGTTCTCTTGGACCTACGGTTCGCAGCCAAAACCTGCCTCCCCGCCCGTTTGAGCGTGTCAGCTGTAGCCATCTGTCACAGCAATGTGCGCCGTGTGAATGGCAGCGATCTCGCTGTTCCTGCCACGCGAAGGCGTCTGCTGAAGCAGGAGCACAGAGCTGACAGGAAGACAGCGGCAGGTTCTCCTTCCAGGTGAGCGCTGTGCTCTCAGACGCTGTCGCTGTGATTTCTCAATCACCCCACACGTCCCTCTGGCCTCTGTCCTCCCCTCCTGCTCCACTTCTCCTTTGGATCCAGGGATGGCTTATGTTCTCTGCCCCAAAATAAAGACTGTGGGGGCAAGGTGCCCCCCATAGCACACTTTGAGCACCTGTTAATGTGAATTCCCGCGCAATCGTCTGATCGATCAACCAGTTTTTGTTACATTTGCCACAGATTCATGAAGTGTATTTTATGACACCAGATAGAGACCCCCCATTTTATACACACACAATATAAAATACCGATTTCTGCATCCGTGTCCAGGAGAGATCGGAAATGACTCTAGAGTTATGCATGTTAGTGTTCCACCTCACACTGCTTAGTGTCCCGTAAGCGGGCAGGGTGTCCCCTGCTCCTGACGGCGGCGGCAGCCCGGGGGGCCCTCAGCACACCGTGCCGTTCTCGGGCCGGGATTTGGGGCAGGTGGAGCGGGGCAGGGGCTGGATGGAGGGGGCCAGGGTGCAGAAGAATCCGGCGATGAGGGTGAGGCCCAGACCCCCCCAGGCGCAGAACATGGACCAGCCGTACCCGTGGCCGATGTCGTCGGGGAGACCGTACAGGTAGCGCGGGTAGCGAGAGAGCTCGAAGTTAATGCCGGCCACGCAGGTGCACAGAGAGATAATGCAGAAGGTACCTGCAATGACACAAATTATAATAACATTGTAATAACTTGTTATTATTATGTAATAATAACTAGTAGTAGTAGTTATATTTGTATCAGTATCATTATTTATAATGTATAATGTAGTCTTGACTGTTGTGGCAAAGATTATATTATGATTTTAGGCTTGGTGTTGTTTACCATATGTACTTCAGTTTTGGTGTTGAAGAGATAGTGATAAGTTTTTGATTGCATTTTTTGAGAGGGTTAATTGCTGCGATGTCAGGTGAGGATTCATATTTCATAAATCCTTACAAGCCTCCCATGGAGATTCTATTTATGACAAAGATTGTATGCTGGCTGTGATCAGTTGTTAGAGATGGCTTGTCTCAGGCAACAAAGTAATAGTGATGTACTGATGTTACTGAATTAAGCAGGGTTGGGAATTTATGCAACATTATGCTTGATGCTTTCATATTTCCAAAGAGTTTGTAGATTGTGTCACTGTAAATCACCGATTTATAGCATATCTACTGTTTCAGTGCAAATCATCCTTGTCCTGAAGAGAATAGTGTTTTTTTTATTCAGTTCACTCTAAATTTAGGGTCTTTTTATATCCTGCGTAACTTCTCACAGCATTGCAGCTGGGGTTTGGCCACTGTAATCTCACCCCACGGATTCCATAAACCTTCATTTTATTACTGAGCATCTTTTAATTGCCTATTCATTATGCATGCACATGGCATAACATTAATCCGGTGCCCATCTTAATTGCGTCTCCAACACTCCGGAGCCGTGTGCTGACGGTCACGTCAGGGGAACGCACTTCAGCTTTTCTCCATGTTATAAAATATTAGGCTTTTTGGGTACGGAGTCCCGTATTCATGCATTAACCAAAAGCTACTCTCACTAATGACTGCTCCCAAATTACGTCTAAGTGTATGCAAGCTCCTCCAGATTTCCTCAGCGGCAAACTAATGAAGGCGCTGTGACCTGGCGCAGTATCCGGTATTGCTGAACTTATTTTTGGCGGCAGTGGTGTCCATTGGAGGTATATGTGTTTCTTGTTTTAAGTCAGGTATTAAGTATATAATTAAAGTCACTGACTGGAAGGAAACTTGAATCACCTGCTGGCTAAAAGATGCCTCCTTTATCAGGAACATTGATCTCTCAAACCAGCGGCTGCATTTATCTGCCCTTTTATAACTGGTTCTAAACTTTTGTGTTCTCGTGGCACTCTGTTTAAAAGTGTTCAGACTTATCAGTTATGCTTATGACTAAGGCGTGTGACAGTGTGCAGTTGGGCAAGCTTGAGCTTTGTTTAGCATAACCAGAGCCTGGGTCTGTTCATTACATTACATTACATTCATTCATTTAGCAGACGCTGTTATCCACAGCACAAAAGAACAGAAGTGTATCCATTGGAACTGAATGGGCAACAGCATCAGACCAGGCTAACAACACTCCCAGACCAGAGTGAGCATCATGCCGTTATGTGAGCATTGAACACCTGTTCAGCCGATGATGGGTCAAAAAGAGCTCAATCTGAGATGAGCTGATATTCATCAAGGCTGAAAACCAGAAATGACACGTAGTATTTGGTATGCTGTCTGGGCTCAACTGGTTGCCAGGTTGGCAGGGACTCACCTCCCATGAGGAAGAGCAGGCCGGCCACGTACTGCATGAGGCCCCGGTCCCAGCAGCATCCCAGCACCCCAATGCTCCA